TTCACTCCGGATGGACAGTAAAAAAATCACTCCAACTTTCAGAGAAAAACAGCGAAACTGCAGTTTGCAACAAAGTTTTAAAAATAAATTTTCCTCTTGTAAGAAACCGAGCTAACTTCTCTTCGGTGTCAATATTGATATGCCATTTTTCAAATTAATTAGTTAGATTAGGTATACGATTTTTCAAAGCATCATGTAGGTATTTAAGTTCTAGCCTTATAACACATATTTTAATGGTTCTTTTTTCACGTTATTGGAGAAAAAATTAATGCTCCATTTTTAAATTTAGAAGAAAATTATAATTTTATCAAAAAATAAAAAAATTGAATAATTTGGTAAACATAGAAAAATCACTGGACTAGATTTGAAAGAAATATCTTAAGGAGAAATGCACCTAAGACTGCAGCATAAACCACTCAAAACCTGGTCTTTGCATGCTATCTCGGAAGTGAGCCAGTGAGAGGGTGCCTACATTTTCACTTTAAAGTGCTCAATTGGTGAAAACAGAGATAAGTGCTGCATGACATGCAATAATCTCATGACGAATACCACTTGAAATCGTACCCAGGGTTCTCAGTAGACATCTTCGTAAACAGTTTAAATAAATCGCTGTTTTAATCCATTCATCCAAAAAGCTATCGCTTCTGAGTATAATCCTCAGTTTTTACACCTACCTACTGTTCCCGCTTTTTGGCACTATCTTTCTGACGTTATCTGTTCAAATTTATGTACAGAGGATTACAGTTTCCGTCTGGGTCACGCAAAACAAGATAATACAGGTTTCAGTAGAATGAGAGGAAAATTTGAAGAATATGGGAGTTATTAATAATCGTTACGTAGGATTATAACAATGACAGGTAGGTCATGAAACCTAGAAAATTATCTTGAAGCTTAATCCAGTGTTTAACCGAAGCATTTAGGACTGGATGAAGGAGAGGACAAATTAGAAAAGGTTTGAAATCCAGATTGAGCAAAAGATATGTTAAAAATTAGAAAACAGGAGAAAAAGGTTTGTAATAAAAATGTACAGGTAATCAACAAGAATTATGTTTTTTCACCTTGGTGTCTTTTTACAATAATTTTGGACTCAGTCTGTGGTGTTTCACTTCATGGTTAAAATTTAATTTAACATTTTTTTCATTCTTGCTTAGGATTTGAAAACTGAAATATCATTGGGAGGTTTTGTGCTCGTAGGGCAGGATTCATAGGAGGTTGGGGAGCCGAAAACTTCAAAGGCCTCATCCTTCACATTATCACCTATTTACAGCACTGATATTAGAGGAAAAATTAAAAGGGGTATGACTAACAGTAATTACATGGACGATATGAAGAGATAGTTTCTCATGAGGAATAATGCTGTAGCTCATTTGAATTGATTAGATATGACCCAAAAGAAAATGTTATTTTGAACGAGAGAAAATAGATAAGTGAACAAAATATTAGTGATTAAAAACACCTAATGTCATGAACCTAATTGAATAGGATTCTCATACATGAATTATTCTGTTTAATTAAAGAGGCAAGGGTCAAACCAAATTCAGCGACTGAGAGAAATTTTTTACAAGAAATTTTTGGATGTGAACCAAGTAATCAGTGGATGAATTTTGGTCGCCAAGAACTTTTGATTTTTTACTTCAAAATATTCAGAAAGAAGAGAGAAAATAATTCAAAGCTACCGGCACAAAACAAAAAAAATAATTAAGAGAAGAAAAAGATCCCTAATTTTAATTTAAATAATTTTTAGAATTTTTTTTCTTCTCAGAGGTAAACACGTAGCTACATAATAAAACTATAATAACTCTTCTAATATAAAATCAATTGACTGAACAAAAACTTTGGCTCATTCAATCTTGAACATAGAAATCACATTTTGAAAACTTGAGAGAAATATTCAACAAAAAAATGAGTCGCTCTCAACACCATCCAACAATATTAGGTATACATTAATTGTTTTTACTGAGTGAAGTGGCAAATCTAAGAGGTGGGTATGTGAATTTTTAAATTCCCTAAAAATTCAGAATTACAAGGAAAATGAGTATGAAGGGGAGCCTTGATGTTTATCAGAGGCAGCAATAGAGGGATATGTATGTGACTCAAATCTGTCCTCGGACAGTTGAGAACTTTTTTGGAAGGTGGTTTTAGCATTTATCTATCAAGGATCCATTAAAATAGGTACAAATTTTTGGGCAGCTCAAAAAAAAGTCCCATACAGTTACGAATATACACTCCAAAAATTAAATGGATCCAAATTTTTTCTTTTGATAATGTCAGTGTTAAATCTTATTATTTTCATGGACTTGAAATTGTAATTACATCTCTTTCAAACATTTGTTCTATTGACTGAAGTTTTACTCTATTTTTATTTAAGAAAAGAAGTATTGATGCTTGTGATAGATGATTTCATGTCTTTTGAAGCAACTCAAAATTATGAATTTTCAGCAATTTAGAAGATTGAGAAGCACTTTAGAAGAGAGACTCGTTTCTGTCTTATAAGGCTTTTTTATGAAGATGAAGAACTACTCAAATAGATGGGTTCGAATATATGAATTCAGACATCTTCGACCTTTAGAGCAGTTTGCTATGAAAGAGCCATCGTCTTTCCCTTCCTTATTTTAAGTACAGACAATTTTTAAAGAACATTTGATCAGATGAAAGAAAATTTTTAACAGATTAAAAATACGGATAAAATTTTTTCAAAAAATGGAATAATTCTTTGACATGGGGAAACCCATGCTAAAGAGTACGAAGAAATATCTTCATCTCATGATTCAAGTGTGAAGCGCTTCATGCTGAGGATTTGATTACTTCCTCCCATCCCTGTTCCTTGTTCATCAACTATTTCCCAATACTAAAACCGAGTGCTGCCCTCTCTTAAAAAAAAAAAAAAAAAAAAAAAACCAAGACCGGTACAAGGTACTTTTTAAAGGATAAATTTAGGCAAATATTCTCATGCGGCTTGTACTAAAAAAAAAAAAAAGTTAACTCTTACCAGTTGACTGCCTTCTATGCGAGCGATGTTTCCTTTCACCCCTATCCTTCCTGTCCTTCCTGTCCTTATTTCTGTGGTGCCTCCTCCTTTTCTTTTCATCTTCTTGCATTGCGCGCCCCAGACACCAATCATTGAGGCCCCCGCGCCTCTCTGGGATACCAAACTCAAGTCCCACGCAAAAATACATAGCGACAAAACTTTACAACGCGTGAAAAAATCCTACATCAATGCCCATTCTACGCGGCCACAACACCACCTTAACCCTCCTTGCACCCAGCATTCGACAAGCTCAGACAATGAAGAAGAGCTTGACCAAAACGAAACGGGAGATGCTGAGGTCCATTAATAGGGGGACCATCAAGGAGGAGGGGAATGCACGGTTAAGAGATCGGTAGAGTCCCATGCTACACTACGCTCGAAAGCAACATCACTGTAAAAACCTCCCGAGCAAACAATACTCTTATAACAAGAGATAAGAGTGCAGAAAGAAAGGTGGGAAGGCAGGATTGCCAAGTCAATGTTCCTTCCTGCCTTAAATCAGAGTAAGCAAAAATCTTAGCCCAAATCTTGGGTACAGAGTCGTTACTACTTTAATTATTTTATTGTGCACACAAGATAAAGGATTTTTCTTTAATGAATACTAAGCTACTTCTACTTTTAATCAAAATGACTTGACATCAATGTAAAAAAGGGGGAGTAGCTGTTCTTTAATCGACTTGAAGCAATAACACACCTCTTGCTATTGAAAAAATTAACTACATATGTACGGACATATTACGTACATAATTAGATATGAGACAAATTTAATCAATATCTCTCCATTTTTATCTCCTTCTCTCTTTGAAAATAACTCGTGTCCCTCTAATGGCACATGAATGAAGTGAAAGAGAAACTCATCTGGTTTGCACTTATTATCAAAGATTTTTCTTTGTGCAAAAACATCACTTTCATGTCCATAGTTCAAGAGACAACCTTTTATGGGCATAAAGACGTAACCTCTCAAAGTAGGGATAGATTGCGCAAGATTGCGTTAACTGCTGAGGGCAAGATTTTTAATTTAAGTTGTGAAGCAAGTTGAAAAATTCCCTGAATGTTAAAAAAAATTCCTGCATGTGAAGAATACATCTGTTCATATTTCTGTCCGTGAAAGAAGTAGCACTTTTGTGGAAGAGAAAATCGTTGAACTCCACCCTGACAAAATTGCTCTGTACTTCTATTGTGTTTCTGAAGAGTTAAGTCAGCTATTTTACCGATTTGTTAAGTCATAAAAATTATGGTTCAAACTGAACAAATTGAGAAAAATGGAATCATTGCTTTCTCTTGGTGGAGAGAGCAATTGGGTAGCCATCCCCTCTCACCTCCTCCAAAAAAAAATTCCTATTTCTACCCAGTAGCATTATGAATGTTAATGCTCTGGCCAAAGATGAAAGCTCACCACAACAAGTTTGCTGGGAGGCAAAAAAAATTCTTAAACCTACCCCGAAATTTACAACATGGAAAAACCCTGGAGTACCTGGAATACAAGTTGATTCCAAAACTGACCTACTTACATTACTGCACTGGGTGAATAGAACCTAGTCTACGCACAACTTTTGAGCTTTGACCCTTGTCTCCTTTCCTTCTTGACCAGAGATAAGAAATAAAATAGACGAGATACCTACGTAGAGTAAGTTAAAATTAGACAATATAGTAAAATAATGCATAATTGGTTTCAATGCCTGGGAGACTGATAGTGGGTGGACATTGTCAACGATAAGCAGTGACGAAAGCACTGTGAGACATTCAATCCGAATCAAAAGAAACCACAGATCCAATCAGAATTGAGTTGTAAATCAATTGAAAATCACCTCTTGTGTTGCTTTATGTGAGTGTAGTATGGAGGAAAAATTCACGAGGAAAGAGGTTACAACTCCATAGAAAAAGCTATAAGAGGCGAGATAAAAAAATAAAAGTTTCCATTTTACTTAGAATAGATTCAGACTCAAGACAGAGGAGGAAAAAGGGTACTCACAGAGGAGAGGATCTAGCCGTTCCTTGAAACTCTTATTCCTAGAAATAGTGTTGGCATTATTCTGAGCACCTTTCTGCAATAAATTTTCCCATCTTGAACTGTCCCATGGCTCAGAGAAAATAGTCTGAAATTAAAGAATACAAAATTTAGACAACAATTTGACAGGAACATACATTTCCTTTGACTTTTATTTCATTTATTGCTTATGAATGCGACTTGTTTTCCTATCCCCTCACTTTCGGAGAAAAGTTATTATAACCAGAATTACAATTAATTTCCCCAACTTTTAAATGATAGAAAGTAAAATAAAAAATATACTTGCTTACAACAAAAAAAAAAAAAAATATACTTGCTTACAAAAAAAAAAAAAAAAAAAAACTGTGAAAAAATGCTAGGTTGAAAGAAAGTAATTAATTTTAAATATCTCGCCCTCAGTAAGTCTTTGCTTAAATTTGTTGATTCTATCAATTTTGCAAAACTTATCCATAAAAATCGTGCAAGAGGATTTTCGTCTTGGTAAACTTTTAGGTATACATATTTTTTTACCAACATTCTCTGCCAAGTTGATTGTGGTGACCAGGTTTGTTGTTGTTTTTCTCGTAAAAACAGTCATAAGGACCAGTTTTTTCATAATATTTTTTGATAGTGCTGCCGAGGAGACTTAAGAACACTATTTGCAGGTCTATAACAGGTACTATTAAAATGGCCACCCTACATCAATATCTAGTGACAGTTATGTACAGCCATTTCCTTTGATCGTTTTTTCTTGGATCCTAATTTAAACACAAGTTAAGAAATTTATTCTTGCAAAAAATTGAATAGCAGCAAGAGCCTAATCGCCTTGTAATGTTGAGAGTTTATTGAGAGACAATTATAAGGAGGCTACGGCTAGAAGATCAAATTACTGCCAATAGAACTTACTTGTGCATCATCATTATCACTAATTTGAGATTGATTAGAAGAACCGTTGGGTTGCTGTCCATTGATACATCCGACAACGTTATCATATGCCGATACACGCAAGTTGACACTTTCAAAAGAATCCTGCGGTCGAATGGGAGACGTGATACTTCTTAAGGATGACTGGCCAGACTTACACTGGGATAGAACCCGCAGTTCTGGAAACCTAAAAGCAAATTAAATCAAGAATAAAAGTTGTGTGATGAGAGGGATTGAAGATTTTCTCTAAATTGCAGATCCGCTTGCCATTTCTTAATCAACGTAACAAGGATTATACTGAGGTATTTGATACATGATGCATCTAGATTATGATGAAATATACTGATGAATTAGTTTGACTTTGACGATTTCCAGAATGTATTTACTTCGGGTAATGTGTTGAAAGAAAGTTCAACATTTCAAAAATAAAATCATGTGCAGCATAAGAAAGGGTATTAAGACTTGGGAGGGTTTTGAATCACTAAAAAAAAGTGTGATAAAGATCTAATAACATATGATACGATGTGATAAATCAAAATTGAAATGATATTGCTTGATGTTGAACGACTTGAAATGATTCTCAAAAAAATTTTGATTCTGAAACGATCCCCTTACAACATTGTGATTTTACAGACACTCATTGCAGAGGATTCAGGTCACTCATTCATTATACCTTTTCATCGTTCTGATGCTTAATTTTTTCGAGTTTTCCTTGTTTTGTCCTGAGAGTTGACCAGCGGCGACCAAAGATGGCTCAAGGGTCGCATTCTAGTGCTATGCTTTGCAACACAGATGTAAGATGACAGTATTTTTTCATTGTCTATCAACAAGGTGATCCAAGAAGTGAAAATACACTTCTCGTACAGAGAGCTATGTACAAACACATCCAAAATTTTGTTACTTTGTTTGTAATGGTTGTAGATAAACCAACAAGTGGAGAACTCTTTCATCCAACAGTGAGAATTCAATTTCAAACGCTACTTCCGTTATATTTTCTCAATTGCATTACATTTGTTTTTGGAGCGAAAAACTTGAAAAAAAAGTAAAAAATGTTAATGATTGTGACAATCTAAAGATAAAGGCTTCCCTACAGTTGACGAGAAGTATTACCTTTGAGCAATAATTTCTTGGAAAGTTAGGCCTTGGGGACTAGGACTTAACGCTTCCTCTTCTTTTGGCACTTGATCTACAGGTGGGAACTTTGCCTCCTTTGCTTCATCTTTTTCTGCTGCCTCATCGTCATTACCTGAAAAAATACAAAGAGCAAATGATAGGTTTGTAAGAGAGGTAATCGACTGCGAAATTGTATTTTTCCCCACTTGAACCCATGGAATAAGTTTAGAAAAAGTATCATGACATCTAATTCAGTGGGCGTAGTTTAAAACCATTGTTATTTTTTTTTTTAAATTAACCTGGAAGGCCCTGACAGAAATATATAATGGAACGATAAACATTAATAATTAGGCTGGAGGAAACATCATCTCAATATGGTGAAAGAGCAGCAAATTTAATGACAGCAACAAGGGGCAGAGTATAATAGAATAAAATCTAAAAATTGGTCAAGTCGATTTTGATTATGGAAGAGAAATAATTATTTTGAAATTAATAAGCGGGCTTTCCAGACTTTTGTAGATATGAGATGTTAAATTTTTCGAACTTACCGATAAATTCCCAGCTGGAGTCCACAGTCCAGGAAGTATCTCCCATTTTTTTCTTTGCAGCTGGTCCAGACAGAACCCTAGGCGGCTGTACTGGTTTTGGTTTTGCTCTATCGCAGTTGGCGCCCCTTCGAGAATGTCTCAGCATAGCAAGATTATCAACAGATGATGAGAGATTAGGGATTTCCTCCTGAAAAAGAAAGCACAACCCATTTTAAAATCTCACAGAGGCAGCAGATAACAAGACGCTAAATACCTGCGGGAGACTTTTTACAGCTTCAGAGCGTGTTTTAGAGAAAATACTTACAAGGCCAATGTTTGTTAAAAATCATAAAATAATACGGTATGCAAAATTCGTAAGTTGGAAAATAACTTTAAATTTTGACACCCGTAGAGATAGAATAAATGAGTAATTGGGTGCTTTCTCGGCAAAATGTCCACAGTTCTCTATGTCTTTCAGTAGAGAAAATTTTCAGAATCATTACAATATTACCTGTACAGTACATATACATGGTTTATACTTTTTCAACACTGCATAATTTTTTGCTCGCATTAAATGTGGTACCATAATATTTCAGTAGAACTTAAAATCTTTGGTATTCAAAATCTTCCCCGTTACCTTCAGAATTTGAAATGGAAACCACTTCTAGATACATTCATACTTAAAACAAATTAAAACCTTTTTAAAAATGATTTTCTCTGGGGGCTGTATTTACCTTGGACTCAATCCTTTCCAGATTCCCTCCGGCTGCAATGACTGAAGGCCATTGGTGAAGTGCAGGAGGATCTGAGTGACGATGCTTTGATGAAGGAAGGTGATTTGAGGGGGGCCTGGGTCTCCTTCGAAGCATTGCTGCCTGCTTAATTGCATCAGCTGGCTCCATGTAAAAGGGACTTCCTTGTTTGGGAGTTTCCGCATTAGTCTGATCTGGTGTCTGAAAAAATAAGGGACTTGATTATCAAACTGCCATGGATGAAATTACCAACATTTCAAATAAAACGATTATGGATGCGTAAATATTTATAATTGCAACTCTTGAGTTATATTCACAAGTGACCTAAAATTAAGAATACATCTCTATTCTCTCCCATAAGAATTACACGCTGAGTGAGCATGATGTCGAGAGTTGTAACTTTTTCGATCTGTCAATCAGTTGATTATTAGTTGAAAATCCCTGATAATCTGGAAAGTATTTCCTGATGACTACCTGCAGTTTCCTTCCACAACCTCCATTACTCTGAAGATAAATTACACTCCACTCTACAACTTAGAGCAAAAATATTGATCCTCTTCCTTTCTTGGCTCACCGATTGGTGTACATTACAATTTTTAGGCGAATAAATATATCAGGAAACCCTGCACACTAACTTAATTAAAATTTAAAAAAGTTAGAACAACTGACGTGCAAGTCAAAATTTTTAAAATTGGATACGTTTCGTCCATGCAGGATAGGCTGATGATATCCATCTTGCACGGACAAGACGCATCCGATTTTAAACATTTTGACAGGCAAGTGAGTGTTTTCAACTTTTTTAAATATTAATTCACATTTTTAATTACAATAGAATTCCTGCTTTTTGGATAGACTTTTTGAGTGGAATTTCCATGATTCTGATGTTCTGTGGCTACGCACATCATTCAAAAGGTCATCAGTAAATTGAGTCTTAAAATTAAAACCGTGATTACACAATTTAGTTTCGCATAGCTTCTATTGCAAATCTTGATATTTGTTCAATTTAATCGATTTGATTCCTTGCTTTTGAGTGACACCAAGTTCTCATTTTTCAAAGATAGGTACTTACAGCTGCTTCTTCGCTAACAGGCGTTTGTGGCTCCTTGGTGACTGGGGAGCTAACAGGCGAGGAGGCTGCAGAGGAGGTATTGATGACAAGACCCAGCTTATTTCGTGTTAAGCTGCCTGAAATCACATCTTGAGTATTTCCTATGATGTCAGGAGGAGGTGAAATAAGTTTCTGATCTAACACTGGTGTTGGTTCACTCATCGGCGTGAACGGTCCAGATTTGATCGGTGGCATAGGTTTGAAGGTAGAGAGAGCACCTTCTTTTTCTCCCCAGATGTCTTCATAGTCGCTAGACTTGTCCGCAACTGAGCTACGGTAATAAACTGTAGGAGATTCAAGGATATCTGAAAAATTCAAAGTTACCAATAAGACATTAAATACACTCTGAAAAACGCGATTAGGTATTTAACTTCACAGAAAAATAAGCCAGTGGTTGGACTTTATTGACAAAATAAATCCTAGTTCCTATCATGCAAATTTTTCATCTTTCTTAATTTTGATTTCAGAAGTTTCATTCTATTTTGTTCTTAGTGGATCCCAAATAATACAAGTTGATGGTGAAACAAGAAAACCCTGGAACTCAATTTTTGATGTTGCATAGTTCCTGAAAAATTGCATGTTGATGATGAGAAACTTACTGTTTTGGATTTATGATATTTTCAAAGAATTTTTTTTTACTCTCTAAAAAAATTCTACAATTTTATTTAAAAATCATTGATTAATTTTAAAAACAGGCAGAAATTTTGGAAAATAAAAAGTTCCTCAGTTTACAACCAAAATTTTCTAAGTATTCAATAGAGGAAACGTTGCTTATAAAATGCGTAAAAACTTAATTTCATTTTTATTTATTATTGTTAATAGTATGTTTAATAATATTACGCTTTTCTTCAATATTGTTCGATTGAAGGGTAAATGAGGAGTTAAGGATTAAATTCTATTCTTCTGGATCCAAAATCCCATAGAGTCCATGCTGAGCTCAATGAAAATGGTCTACTGGAGGAGAGGAACAAAAGATTTACCAGTTTCATTCCCTGATAGAGAGTAAACGTAGGAATCAAAATAAACGCTGTTCTGCTGCACTTTATACATTGGCGGACTAATTCAAAGTATAGGTGTCAAGAGAATGACAAATTCATGAGTATATGAAAAGTGTGTTGCTTTTTATACAAACCTGATTCTTGATAATGTCGAGACTGCTTGTGGCGCTTGCTGCGACGATGATGATGGTGCTTCGCACCACCTGTGTCTGACATTGGAGACAGTATTTGGTTGTCTTGAGACTGCTTGTGCACTGGCTTGTGACCTAGCGTACTTTGAAGAGAATGCAGTGAAGGTAAACTTTCGCAATCAAGTGGTCCAGCCTGAAAATTATAAGGATAGGCAAACAAGTTAATAATTTTAAATCTATCCAGAAAGTTTTGGTTTTTAGAGTACTCATCAATCAGTTACTAAATCAAATCAAGATACAATAGAGTTAACAAGAAACATTCTCAGAGAGCTTGATGCTTACAATGCAAGTAAATTTATTGACTCCTACCTTTTGAACAGACACAAACTATAAAATAGAATTACTTAATTATATTGAATGGCGATATCTATAAATAGGATATCGATTAACTGCAAGGTGAAAAATTCCCTTGGCTTGGTGAAACGATCATAGTGCTGAGTGGCATAGGTTGCAATTAAATAGTAAAATTTTTGCTATTATATCGGGGTGTTGGGTGTGTTGCCTATTCACTGATTGAAGGGGCTTCTCTTCTTAAAGTTTATTGCAATAAAATCAAAATAAGTTGAATTTTTTTTGCCTTGCAAACTGTCTACCTTTCTGACACATAAAATAAATTTTATTGATCGTTCAAGATTTAAGAGGCATTTACTGACCATATCATGTAAAAATAATGCAATTTCATAGTAAAACAGTTGCAACTTGATTGCTTAAAGTTGCAAAATTAATTTAATATTTTCGTTGTACCTATACTGGACTACATGGGCATTAGATACGTTCCGCCACTGAAAAGTGTTAATTACAGTTTGATGCTTCTTTCTAGAGAGCTACTTTTTTTGTACAGACCAAGACCACATCAATCAAGATCCCCCCAAAAAAAGTGTCTTGCATTGGACGTTCCAAAGTTCCCGCTTATATTTTAATTTCCTGGATAGGTAGTGCCCAAAAAATAAAATGCATTAAATTCTTCCCCTTTTGCAAAAAATTTTCAGAGAAAAAAAAGTTTAAAAGATCAAACAGAAAATACGAAGAATTTCTTCTGGTGACAATGATCAGTCAATGAATTAATACTTCTTACATTAATCATTTTATTTAGGTATTGGCAATTTTTTATACTTTGAAGATAGTAAATAATTTATTATAACTGATTAACTTCTTTAAGTAAATTGATGGTACAAAATACAGTGCATAAGATCAGAAAATAATTTTACTTAAATAAACCTTCGGAAATCCTTTTGAAAAATGCATAAAATGTTACAGGAAATATGCTACGTTCCAAACTAAAATACATACATTTCTATGTTTACCAGCAACAAATGGCTCAATGTTTAGAATTTAAAAGTCCAATAATACCTGTGTTGTATTCCCGCTCATATTTATATTTCATGTCATTTCACTTTTCATGAGCTTCCTCAGATCTTTAACACTTCATTCCAAAAGCTATGTTTGACTGATAACTTACTTGCAACGAGTGTACTTCATTGTTTGGTGATGATGCTGGTGAAGTTTGACTATTCACATTGAACGTCAAAGTTGTGGTAACACTAAAGCTTTGCTGAGTGAGGGTTGTTATTGTTGGCTTGGCCCATCTAGGCGGTGGAGGAGGTGGTGTTTTTGTACTTTGAGCTAAAAAATTATTGCTAATTGACTTGGAACCTACAACACAGAAACAGGAAAGAAAATATAATTAATTCCGAGAAGTTAGAGGGGGAATTTACATGGAGGTGTAGGAAAACACATGGATTTGTCAAGATGATAAAAAATTTTTAAATTATAAGTATCTGGTATAAGTTGCTTTCGATTTAAGAATCTTTACAAACCATTGAAGTGCAATCAGGTATGGTAGATAGCTAAGAGCATTAACATGATTTAAAAAGAACCATGCCCATTTTAAAAAGTTTGAAAGATTATAAAAATTGAAAGGCCTTGTATCCACAGAACGTTTTTCTGCAATGTGTCGCTCCAAGAAATTGCACTTACCAATCGGCAAAAAAAACTGACCGATTTGATATCAATCCCTGTTTGAAGAGCAACTCCAAAATTATGCTCCATCAGATCATGGAGCAACTGAGGGAAGAAGAATAAACAAAATGAAATTTGTTGCGTTAGAGGCAAAGGGATATCGACAGGGCGTTTATAAATAAGTAATTTTTTGACACATGAGAAAAACAAGAATAAAAAGATAGAGACAAACCTGAAAACATACTACTGGAACACGATATGAGGTTTAGAGTATTTGGTGGAGTAGGTCGAGGAGCTCTCGATGGTAGGGGTAGGGCAATACTGTTTTGTGATGATGATACTGGAGAGGAGGCGCTTACTGGAAAAAGAAGAAAAAAATTGATTTCAGTCAGTTGAAAAGGCCAGATTAAAAAGAAAGAGAGTTTCAGTCCCTAAAATTTAAGAAAATAATTGGGTTTTACTTTAACATTGCGGCAACGTACATCAGTGGCCAGTGCAATCGAACACTCCTTTTGTTTTTTTTTTTAGAAAAAGAGGAAAATTATTAGTTTGAGGGTGGGAAAGGGGTGACGGATATTGCACCTGTAGATGGTTATTACTTACTGTAACATCAATCTACTCTAAACTCCCCAAAGAAAAATAACGAATAGAGCACTTAATGTACCCTTGGATACCTAGCATGTAATTTTATCCATGAGTAAACAAAAAGTATTTGTTAAAATTAGCATTCAATCATGCTGGATTTCTTCTCAAAATTTTTAAAGACATATCAAGATACATTTTCTTCTGGCATATTACATAGTTGTACCTAAATGAGCTTGACAGTTTGAGTACATACCAGCTAACATTCTTTCAGAAGAAGGTGGAGAACCTTTGAATGTCGACATTAAACTATTTGGTTGCGACTGATCAGATAGAGGCGACAAGTTAAGTACAACTGATTCATGGTGTTGATCCAGTGTGGGGCTGCTACTCAAATGATTATTGTTGCCTGAAAAAAAGAAACAGGATACGTGAGAATTTTTATACCTATGACTTGGAGGTATCTAACAGAAAAGTGTGTAATTTTAATGAGTTCAGAGATTTTTTCTATTAATAGGTAAATCTGTTTGACTTACAGTAAAACATAAAGCAAAAACAGGTAAACATTTATGTCCACTTATGAACACATAATCTCTATTTAGCTGCATTATTATCAAGAGCCACACTTCACATCCAAGTTTTTGCAGAAATTTATGGAATTAATGTGTACTTAAAATTAAAGTGGAATGTATTTTTTGAATTTGCTTGGCTCCCCTAAAATTCTTGATAAACTGATCATACTTTAATGTTTGACTTGGAATGACTTTAGAATACTTTTGAGAGAGAGATGATCATCCCTCCATATTTTAATACTTTCGATGGTTGAGCAACCCAGCAATTCCTTTGGAGAGTTCATATACAAGCTTCTTACGATTACTTGAGCAAGCCTATTTTTATTAGACAACATATCCATAAAATGTCTAACTTATTAACTAGTAATAAATGAAGAAATACTTACCGCTTCCGATACTGCTTAAACTACTAGAATGACTATGACTATTGGATTCGCAGCTGGTAATAGAGTGCTGCGGACCCAATTCCAAATTTGGAGGGGGACTTTTTGATGAGACAGGCTCTGGAGATGTCATAATTTCAGGTTTAGGATTTGCCATGGGATAGCGCCAGAATTCCTGACCTAGGAGAGCGAGAGAGGATAACTGCTGTCGATTTTTCGCCTCTCTGATGGTCTGTGGCAAGGTAAGTTGAACTGGTAACTCATCACTGAAAATATAAAAATAAAAACATGATGACTAAAAGTGACAGTAGTATCTATTGAAACACAAACTTTCAGTTTCCCTGCAGAAAAGAAGAAGAGGAAAAATCCTTGCATATGAAATTTTATTTCGGAGTAGGTACTGGTGATAGGCACGGATTGCTGTGCAATTCTGATTTTAGTGTACACTTCATCAGATTTTTAATTTTAATTTAAAAGATTTACAATATAATATTTTAGACGTGATTCTTTTCTGATAAAATGACAGCAATAAGTATTTGAGGTTCTCTATCAACGAAGAAAAATGAAGACTGAAAAAAGATAAGAGGTAAAAAAATAGATTTTTGAAAAATGTGAGAAGTCGCCTGTTGCCTTATCTTTAGTTTTGACGGAATTTGCATGATGGCATGAATGCCAAAAAAGCCTTTGTGAAACTCAGCATTGCTAGTTCAAGATTAAGCCTCTGATGAAGGGATAATATACCCATTAATATTAGAACTGGGGAAAGGAAAGTTTGGACAAAAGTTGCTTCAACCTGAATGCATCAATCATCAGCCGGCCCATTGGTTAGCACATAAACTATTGTGTGGTGCCATTTTTTGATGTGATTTAAATTTTGTCCAATCTTTTCTTTTCCTAGTTCTAATGCAGATGCATGCACAAAACAGGAAAATTGACGGTACTATTATTTTATGATACATGAGCTATATACAGATTTAAAATATTATGAGGTCATCAGTGAGAAGACTGTTTCCAAATATGGCTCAAATTCAATTAGCTATTTTTAAAGGATGGCTGCCACTGTGAATAGACACTTGATCAGGTGCTCGTCGTCGTCAGTCGTCAACGATAAATCTATCAATTCATCACTTCCATCAATAGGTGTGCAGTGATAAAACGCCTTCAAATACTCTCGATGCAACAAGCACAACTATGAATAAACGTTTGAACGCTGCGTTACGCTGTTAATACACCTTCTCAGATACCGATTTGAGCCATTGCTACAATGATAACTTAATAGTTGATGCTGTGTGGTACGCTATCTGGATTGGCTACAAACTAATCAAATTCAGAAAATTGCCAACTTGGAATTGGAACTTGAAATTTCGCTGACGGAAACGGAATTTTCGAGAAAAAAAGTTGAAGGCACTGACCAGCACTGAGAGTAGTGGGCGATGAGAGCGGGTATGGATTCGAAGCGGTTGTCCGAGCTTTCAAGGCCCATCTTCCCGTCCTCGGTGGATTGGATGAGGTAGTGCTCGATGTAGGGCCCCTTGCCCGGCGGCAGCCTCACCGAAATTGCCATCGTCCCGCTTTGACTCGACTGCCGCACCACGAAATTCTGAAACAGATCAAAACGCAATGAGAAAAAAACACTAAGAAGTGGCCCGAACTGTATGTAACAAGGTGTAAAAACACAAATCAGACCAAACCGCAAACCATGACACAACTTGTATACGTGATTACTATAGCTGAATACTTAAATTTAAAATTTTCGCCCCTACTTCGATATTTTAAGCGGGCATATAATCCGTAGTTTCCCTCACGAAAAAATGTAACTACATTTCAATGTTACCGAAATTCCCCTCGCAGATTGAATTTTTACCGGGAGACTCTTGGGAATTCCTAACTAAAAATTTCTCTGATATTTCATCGATTTAATTTTATTCCAGTACAAACCAATTTTAGACACAGAAACAACGCAGATACATTCTCGTAAAAAATTAAATTGCTTCAGTCAATTTTGCAACCTTAGAAAGTTTCACGTTCCTTCGTCCGGGAAACAACGAATTATCAGACTTTTTGGGCGAAATTTTTGAAAAAGTATAGATAAATCACACGAAATTTTATGCAAGACCGTTGATCAGTCATTCTTGAAAATACAAATGCGATAGGACTCCTGCAACGTTTTAAACATAGATGTAATTTCATCACCGAAATTCAGTCTTCTGCACTAATCATTAATTTAAAATAGGTACATACATATGAAAGAATGCTGAGACCTTTCACGAAATACATTCACAAACATAAAATCGTGAAGAAATGTACAATCACAATAATTCTAAAGAGTTTAATTTTAATTTTCTTGCATTTTTTTAAATTTATAATACATAAAAACCTTTAATTTTTCAGGGAAAACAACGTTTCTCCTGCATAAGAAAAGACAGAGTGAAAAAATAAAATCTAATACTACATTACCGTTGGCTATTCACTTTTTAATTTCTCTATCTCAGTGGCCGAAATAACATCTAGACGATCTCAAACCAGAAGTATCGATTCCAACTGTAGACGAGTAATAGCGGGAGAATAGCGAATTTAGAGAATTAATTGGTGAAAAAAATGATGATAATTAAGTTCGAAAAATGCAATTACGGTAAGGCGAGCTGTAGAGGAGGTAGAAACGCGCTGCAAAGAAGTAAACAAGTTAAAGTCGGTGTTGATTAACACTTTAATTAAATACTTTGCCCGTTTATTTCCTCAGCAACGATGTTCCAAGTCCCATGCCTATCTGGGTATTTATAATTTGCCCGGGTCGGTTTCGTTCTTATACTGATGCTCCTTCCCCCTTTTTTTCATTTTAATGAACTTTCCTCGACTTAGATGTAAATACTAATCGGGTTAGAAATTGCGCTTTCCCTGCTGCATTTTTAAAATTATTTTTCATCGCGTCTGATTTTCAAATGCCGATGTTCTTGGTTGAGGCAGCTCTTTTATTTTTCCTGAGCAGCAAGTGAAAGAACAGTTAAAGTTTGGTTGATCTGTAGCGGGAAAATGGCTATTAGGAGCTCACTATGCGCACTTTCACTCTGAAGTCAGCCAAGGCGCGTTGGCACTCCTTCAATCTCCAAGGATACAACTATTTTAACGTAAAGGAGCTGTTCTTGCCTATGTGTTAAAATGAAGGGATTTGACGCTTAGTGCCGCAGAAAATGGACACACGTCGTTGACAGAGCACAGTTGTTCTCCTTCACTTGAACGGGTAGGCAAAAACAGATCAAAATAGGAGTATCCTCAAGGATGCGACTTTGCTTCACTATCTTGCGAGATCAAAAATGCACAGTAAACTACTAATCTTACAGTTATCAGGTTTTATCAAATTCAAAAAGTTCCTTTTCGTGGTTTCTGAACTTTAGAGTAAATTTTTTAAAAATCTTTGAAATTATGTATACCAGAATTAGATGGAGTTAAGTAAAATGAGGGCAAATTGTTAGTTCCTTTCAAAAATGGTATGAATGCAGCTGAGGTTTCCCTAGTTTTACCGAAAACTGATTATGCATGGCGCACGAAATTCCCTGATTTTCTAAAAATAAAAACATATAACGAGGACCCTCAATTGCCATGGTCCGATCTCCACACACGACATTGGAATCAAGAACATCCCTAACCCAGTGGCAGTTTTGCAAGTTGGCAACCCGATTTTTCCTCCATTTAAACCATTGAAAAAATCGATTTTATGTGAGACAAGTTGCTGCCTCACCAAGAGTCGATTGTTTCACATACATTGAAACGGAACAAAAACAGTGTTGCAAACTTTCACGAATCGCCACAGCCCTAACCGCGATCAAAACGATCGAACTCTCCCTGTTTTTGAGGATTCCCTGACCTTCTCGGATTTTCCAGTTTTCCCTGCGTCGCTAGCGATCATGCCTGGGGGTTTCGAGGGCCAAATCTGGCACTGTGTAACCGCTGGCGGCTGAATAATACATTTAGCAGCGCTTCACGGCGACAGAGAATTGCGGTACTCGCGGAGAGGGGCCGAAGAAGGGGGGTTACAGTGCAGTGGGTAGAGATAAAAAGTAAGAGGTAAAAGGGAAAGAGACGTAAAATACGCGTTCAATTGCAGGGTATCCCAACTCCCTCCTTCTCATTTAACCGCGGAACGCTTCTCCTCTTGTGGGTTTGTAAACACTCCGTCAAAGAGGCGGTGGTTGAGACTAGTGGATGCTCCGAGATCAAAATTTCAATTTACATTCTTCAACTGCCTCAGCCGTAATTACAGGACGTTTTGCGAAATTTATGCAATTTGTCGCTTAAAACATTATAATCACTGCATTGCTTAAACATATTGCATGTTTCTGCGATTAGGTTTGCAATAGGGAACCAATTTTTTGGGGGAGAAAGAGAGCTATAGTTTATATCATCAACATACTTCTCCATCTGGGTCAGTGTTATTCTACGTTCTCTTGATCATCGTATATAAAAATCAAATTCTACTATTCAGTAATTTGAAGAGGAACTAATGACTAATTCCTCCTTGTCGTTTCATCGCTCGTTTTGAAAGGCTCGTTATTACAGTCACCGGAGAAAACAAATTCCACTTAAGATGTTCAAAAAAACTTACAATTTTTCTATCAAATTCGATGTTCTTGATTCCAGAATTTCATTAGCTTAAAATGCTGTGCATGGAAAAGTGTCTTTGCAAGTTTCACTGTGAACTAGTTAGTCTTGGCGGACTAAGCTTTTTCCCAGTCACCTCACTTGGGCGTTCAAGCCTTACGGATCCTTTAAAAAGTTCCTTGAGGGTCTGCCACACGGAGAAAAAAACTTCGTGCGTGGGACCCGAAGTTTAGGTCATATGGATCTCTGACGTTTTCAAATTGAGCTTCTGAACACTTTAGATCTAGCTGTCGAGGTTCGGATCACACATCTGAAACTTCAGTTCTTACATCTGAAGTACCTCAGATGTGAGAACCGAAGTTTTACGGATGTGAAAACCGAAGTGCTTCAGATGTAGAACTGAAGTTTCAGATGCGTAATCTCAACCTCGACAGATAGATCTCAAGTGTTCAGATGCTCAATCCGAAAACTTCAGAGATCCAGATGACCTAAACTTCGGGTCCCACGCACGAAGTTTTTTTCTCCTTGCACCTGGCCGCTGCACATCTAAACCCCCAAAGGACCTTTCTTTTTTATCAAACATCAAGTAGCTTGTAAAAATGAAAATGTTGAGATTTTTTAAGATTTGTATTGACGTGGAAATTCGTGGATAGCGTGCATATTTGTATGCACGTAGGTATTGTTGAATATTTCGCACTTTGCACATTGAACTCGCCTAAAAGTTAGAAAAGACGACTGAATGGAAAACTCCTCGTCAAAACTTACAACTCATGGGCACTCGTATTAATAGCTGAGAATCCAAGCAAATCGTCGGTTTTCACGATCAGAATCCGATCTGACACCGCCGCGAGTGGTGGAGCAGGGTCGCAAGACGCGAATGTGCTTCATAATTATGTAAATATTGGGTTTCCTGCAAGCTCCGAGCAGACGGCCAGACGGACTGCCAAGATCCGACACCGCCAATTTTCGCGAAATATTCGCACCGGAAAGAACTGCAGGAACAGACGGGAGGGCGAGGTGATTTAAACCCTGATTTTGATACCGTGCACTGTGCAGAGACCCCGACCCGACCAAAACAAAATGCATCCTTCTGATTGGAACTCGAAAGAGACTTGGAAGTAGAGAAACAGAGAGAAAAAGAGCCGAGGGTAATTTGAATTCTTCTACCTCCTGCACCGGGTTCCTTGCGATGCTCAATTGATTGTATTCCGGCATCGGTACCATTTCTTCATCGCGTCTTCCAGTGCAAATTGTAGTCTCACTTTTCAGGAGCTTCGTTTCAATATACCGGGAGCACTTCGTGCGCATTCTGACAAAAGTGCGTATTATCTGCGGGCCGATTATTGAAATTGATACACAAAGCTATAGACAAAGATGACAAAAGGGATATGATGGGAACCTATTGGTGGAAGCTGGTGGTTAATGAACAAAGGCAGTAGGTAATAGACTTACTGACGGCAAACCACGAGAAACCCGACAGCTAGTCCATTATTTTCTCCCTTAGTCTATAAGGGCCACACATTTCAACAAATATGATCGCTCCATACCCCCTATGTCTTCTTTGTCCATAGCTTTGTCTATCAATTTCAATAATCAGCCCGCTGGCGTTCATTGATAGGTAATATGTTTCAGAAGCTGTGGATTCCGTCTTGCACTGTAAGACCTAACTTTGATCCTCATAGAAGGATAGAACATCTGACAGGCGCTTTTCGGTCGAGAAAGGTCAACAAATTTCAAAAAATACGCTTTCAATACTTTTCTTCGGTTTTTTGAATTTTCATCAGTTTCAGTTCACTTTCTTTAGAGAATAATGGAGAAACACAAAATATTTACGGTCTGAAAAATGTTGGATAGTCCATCGCAAGTTGTGCTTTCAACGCTCTCAGTTTATACACAGTGATTGGCTCTTCCGACGAAAAGGCTCGACAAACGCCATTTGGACTTCATTTTGCAATAAGGAACTACTATTTCTAACTCATTTTAGAAACAACGTACACGATAACA